GGGAATGACCTATGCAAAGATGCTTCTGTTGCACAGAACCTTTCTCTGAACAACGCCTCTAGGGTCTAAAGCACCTTTCATTCTTGGTCTCTGAGGCTGAGTTTGGTTGGTAATCAATTGTAACTCCGGTTACTTCTTTGGCGGTGTGTAAGATGGGAACCAATTTTGAATACTTTTCTGTGTGAAACCTTTGGACTGGGTTGGCCAATGAATTTGGGGTACCTCCTTTGGGTTACAAACAAGCATGGCTACAGAATATGGGCCTCCGTCACAGCCAAGGAGATTAGGTCTGTCTTTTGTCAAGCTGACAGCCATGGATTCCAACCTTTACTCTCTCCATGTGCCCCTATACCTTGGTTGTTTCCTGAGATTGCTTCCTCATTTATCTAAAAAGAAAGAAAAGAGATGGCTGATACCCATCTCAACAATTTTAGCAATAAAATAAAATATCCAACATTAGTCCCTTATAAAGATAACTGTGAAGAAAAAAAAATGCTCATTAGAATGCAGAATATTTAGTGTTTATCTCCCCCCACCCTTTTTGAACAGGGTCTCATGTAGCCTTGCTTGGCTTTAATCTAGCCACATCACTGGCCTTGAACTCCTAGCCCTCCTGACTCTACCTCCCAAGTGTGGGGATTCAAGTGTGCACCACCATACTTGGATTTTCAATATATTTTTAATAGGAGATCTACTTACTTATTAATTCATTCATTTATTGAGATAGGATCTCCCTTTATAACCCAGCCTGGCCTGAAATTCAGTGTGTACATCAAGCACAGAGCAATTCTGCTACTTCCAAGTGCTGCATTAAAGACTTGTGACACCATTTCTGGGCTGGTTTTCTTTTTGACTTTTGGGGGCTATATGTGAGTGCATCTGTGAGTGTGAGTTTATTTGGGTGTGTGTATACATGTGTGAAGGCCCATAGAAGCCAGAGGTCAATCTGTAGTGTTGTTCCTCAGGAACCATCCATTGTTTTTTGAGGCAGAGTCTCCCACTGGGCTGGCCAGTAAGCTTAGGGGATCATCCTGTCTCTCCAGTGCTAGGATTACATGCCAGCACACTTGGCTTTTTGTTGTACATTCTGGGGACCAGACTCAGGTCCTCATGCTTGTGGGCTCAGACTGAACTATCTTTGAAGGCCCTACGTTTTATTTTTGATTGCTACCTTATCAGATATTAACCTCAAGATTATTACTGTTGTACTCTGAGCAAAGATTTGTTGCAAGTCTTGTGTTTTGACGGTAGGAATGTGCTGTGTGCCTCTGTGGCTGCTGGGTGGTATTGTAGGTGGAGTCGTGGACAACAAAACTGAAAGTGTAAATTGGTGCTCCAGCACAGAAGGCTTTGAACTGCATGTTACAGGGCTAGGCACTGTCCGATAGAAGAGACGGGCACTGGAAGCTCTTGAGCATAGGAAAGTTATTTTATCTGTGCTTCAGGCATGTCCTTGACACGCCAGACTAAAGTCTCTTGACAGCAGTATTTGTACACACCTTACACTCATCTTTATAGGAGTATACGGAAGAACCAGTTGCAGGATGGAAGACCTGGAGAAGAATAAGGAGGTGAGCAGAAAGACCAGGATGAAATGTAGAAAAAAAAATCAGGAGTGTTTCAATAAGGACATGCTCAGAAGGATTCGGTGACTGAATGCCAGAGCCAAGGAAGACAGCAAGCAGGGGGGACTCTGAGGCAGCTGGCTTGGATGACAGCTTGCCTGGGGGATGGGTGGGGAAGTTGTCATCAACAGAAATAGAAAACACAGGCTAGGAAAACAAGTTTGAAAATTGGGGGAACAATGCATCTGATTTTAGTTCAGTGAGTCTGCACTGAGGTGGGAATGTCTGACTGGCGAGTGAAAACACAGGCCCGGAGTTGAGCAGAGGTCAAGATAAAGAGAAAGCATGCAGAAAGGGGAGGGAGGGTGGGATCGGCAGGGGAGGAGGGAGGGGCTCATGGGGGGATACAAAATGAATAAAGTGTAATTAATAAAAAAAAAATAAAAGATTTAAAAAAAAAAGATAAAGAGAAAGCCTTGTTTATGGAGTCCTGTCAATCAAGACCATAAGTGGTCTCTTGGCAGTGGATGAAATCATCCTTGGAGAATGTGTTGATCAAGAAAGATTGACCAGTTACAGGACTTGGGAAAATACTCTCCCTTATAGACTGGTTCTAGAACAGGAAACTGGAAAAGACAGCAGGGAAAAAAAATGGCACAGAAATACCATGAAAAATCTGTGTTGCAAGAGGGCTCCAAAGGCCCAGTCATCACCTCAGACCCACGAGAAGGGACTGAGCTGAGGCCTGAGAGGGGCTAGTGTGTGTCCATTAGCAGTTCATGGACAACCAACCACTCTGAGAGCTGCAGTAGTGGGGAGGCCAGAGCTGGGTCAGTGAGGGGCTCAGAGAAAGACTGGGATGGGGTGGAGGCACTATCCCCTTCCATCTTCAACTGCTGTTTCTTTTTCTCTCTGGAAGAGTTTTCTCTGTTGCCCTATAAATGCTAAAGTCACCTACGACTCTGTCCTTGGCTGGAAGCTCGCAGTGGTGAAGGTTCTCTGGGTTTCAAATGACAGAAAGCAACTCCAGCTGGCTTGAGTGGAAAGATTTATTGGGAGGGCACAGTTACCTCACAGGACCCAAACGGCTATCACTGGGTCTTGCATATAAGCTCTAACCAGAAACCAAGCACCGCGGGCTGCTTCTTCACTGTTCCCTTGCTCTGTCTATTTTTAAGCCCCTCTCTGCTCATTGCAAACCAGCTGCTTGGATTTTCTGAGCCCTGTGACTGAAAACATGTCTGCTACGCACTCTTGAGTCATATTCCTTGCTCAAGCACTCAGAGCAGAACCTGAATTGCACTTAGTCTCCAAGAGCTGAGACTGAGTTTATCAGCTTGAACAGATGCCATCGGACCAGCCATGTCACACTACACAGGCAGTGGTATGGGGACTGTGTCCTGGAAGTGACCTTATCTGGGATGAATCCTAAAAGCAATGGGTAAGGAGAAGGTGTGTGGGCAGCTTCTGTTCCCTCTTCTTTGTTTTCTTCTGAGAGCCCAGATGCTCCCAAGCAGCGAACTCAGGGATCTTCTTCGAACAGGTCTCAGCCAGAAAGGCCTCCCAGGTTGTTAGCTTCCTCAATGGCCAGCCCTGGCTGCATGCACACGGCCGTACCCTCTGGGTGAAACAGAGTCGAGTGAGGTCACCTAGAGTCTATCCCTGGATGCTCTGAATGTGGGTCTGCAGGGGTCACAGACCAGCTCCTTTGGAGGATGGTGTAAGGCTGTTGTAACTACGGGAAGGAGGGACACTCTGGAGGTGGCAATGTTGGGGATCCTGGGATCTAGCTGCACCCCTACCCTCTCTCTCTCTTAGGTCTCAGAGGTCAGATCAGTGATTTTCTCTCTCTCTCTTTTTTTTTTTTCTGTTTCAAAGTAAATTCTCTTTAGATAGTTTCCAGTCATTGATATAAAATGTCTTGGCTAATCTAGAGTCCTGGGAGTTGAAGAGTAGCCATTCATTTCCAGACTCACCTCTTGCTTCCTGCATCCAGGGTAGGAAGGGACCACTCCCTTTATCTTGCTCAGGAGAAACAGGATCCAAATAGGATGATCATACAGAAGTTTGGAACTCTGGCCATTACTGAAAGAATGGCTCTGTTAATAAATACTATTAGTGTAAATTTAAGATCTCTCTTTTATGTTTGAGATCAGAATCAATGAACCAATTTGTCTATTACGATATAAATACTTGCTGAATGAGGTCAGAAACTGGAGCACTGTACACTTCTCACTGATACCATTAATCCATTTCTGTCTTTGAGATATTATTTCATTCATGTTGAAAAATGATTTTCATTGCTTCTTTATTTAGTCTATAAATGTTTGAATAAGCCTTTAAATTATTTTTTTAGTTTTTATTTATTTATTTTATTCACATTATATTCCGATCATAGCCCTTCTCCTCCTTTCCTCTTCGTCCCACCCTCCTTCTCTCTCCCCCTTATCTTCTCTATCCTATTCCTCAGAAAAGGAGAACCTGCCTACCACCAACCCACCCTGGCACATCAAGTGGCATCAGGACTGAGCACAGCCTCTTCTACTGAGGCCAGACAAGGCAGCCCCATCAAAGGGAAGTGATTGAAAAGCAGGCAAAAGAGTCATGTCAGAAACAGCCCCTTCTCCCCTTATTAGGGAACCCACATGAGGACTAAGCTACCTATCGGCTACATGTGTAGGGTCCTAGGTCCAGTCCATGCATGGTCCTTGGTTGGTGCTTCGGCCCCTGTATACCCCACTGGGCCCAGTTTAGTTGTCTCTGTTGGTCTTCGTGTGGAGTTCTTGGCCTCTCTGGTTCCTTCAATCCTTCCCCCCAACTTTTCCACAAGGCTCCCAGAACTCTACATAATGTTTGGCTGTGAGTCTTAGCATCTGTTTTGATCCACTGATGGGTGGAGCTTTTCAGAGGACAGCTATGCTAGGTTCCTGTCTGCAAGCACAGCAGAGTGTCGTTAATTGTGTCAGGGGTTGGCTCTCTCCCATGGACAGGCATTGCTTGGACATTCCCTTAATCTCTGCTCTATCCTCATCCCTGCACATCTTATGGGCAGGGTGAACGTTTTTAGGTCAATTTTGGTCAAAGTTTTTGTGAACCTTTCACACTTTTAACAAACTCAGTTTTGGGATCATTTTAGAGATACAGAAAAAAAATCATGAAAACAGTAGTACTCCTACCTCCCCCTCACCTAGTCTCTCACACCACCACAAGCAGTAGAGAACCCGTTTGGTTCATCTCTACCCTGTGCCCCTCAGGGGCGCATTTAGGAGACCAAATTACATTTTAGTCAAATTACATTTAGTTTTCCCATCTCCTTAGGTTCCTCCGGCTTATCACAGCTAAAAATTTTATTCTTCTTAAGGCGATATGCTAATAATTTATATGAGCATGAAGCTTATTTAATGTTTGCTACACAGATTTATATTTTTACTTGATCTTTTAATGTTTAACACTTTAAAAACTTAATTTACATTAAATATTTTTTTTTACAAATGTTAATGTGAATTCCGAACACTTACAATGACAATATCAGTATTTCAGGATTATTTTTTAATAGATGTTATGTTATATGGTCAGGGTTTCGATTTGGTCCAGCAGAGCAGTCACTGGAGCACAGGGGCACGGTGGGATGTGGCGATCCTAACACTTCAGGATAGCCGAAGCGTCAGGTGAACAGCATGGGTCCCTAGAACCTGCAGCAGAGGCAGCAGAGCGTTGCTGGCCAGCTCAGGGCTAGCTTCTCTGAAGTAGGAAGCCCAGGCCCAGGCTATCCTAGAGGGGCCCCAAATCACTCCCATTTGCCCATTAGGACCCCAACTGTATTTTGGCTTTCTCTGTATAAAGAAGGACTGGCTGCCTAGTCCAAGTTGCTTCCTGTGTTTTGTACAGCCAGTGCCTGTGCACTGATTTGCACTCCAGGGACATTATCTGTCGGGAGCCACTCCCGCCATTACAAGATGGCGCCGGTTTCCTGCTTCCTGGTTCTTCTTGCCAGCATTGTTTTGCGATCTGCGCATGCGCCGCCTTATGCTAATGTAGGCTTGTGTGGTCCTCCATTTGGAGACCACATGCTAATTGGGTTTTGTGTGGAGCACCAATTACAGACGAACAAGTCACCCTGCTGGCTACTTAAGCAGAACGCACACAGGGTTCGGGGTCCTTCTCCATCTGCTGTTAAGAGCCTCACAATAAAGTTGCTGCTGGACAAATCCGTTGTTGCTGCGTCGTCCTTATCGGCGAGGGCTGCGCGTGACAATTATCTAGGAGAAGTCTTTGTTTTCCTGGCACTTGCTCATTTTTGTACCACCCTAAACTTGACATTCAACCAAAGGTGAGCAAATGATGGACAGTGACACCACTAGCAGAACAAAGTTAACCCTCGCTGGAGCTGATGAAGGGCTAGGGACCCAAGCCGAGTGAGCAAAGACTCCAACTCACAGTATGGAGGATATAGAGCTGACAAGGGTGGAAAAAAAACAAAACAAACCAAAAAACCAAACCAAACAAACAAGCACAATAAAAAACAAACTGCCGGGCAGCAGGGCCAGCAATAGTGGCCTGACTCAGTAGATTCCCACCTCTAGTCCAATCTCAGCATTCAAGAACTGTAATTAAGAGTTTACTCACAAGTACACAGAATCATTCCCTCTTCCTAGAGTAAGATCTGTGTGACCTTCAACTAGATTACAATTCACTGAGCTGTCCAGGGCGGCCAAAAGTGGTTCAACAGGCTTCCGGCTTCATTTTGCCTGTCCGTAGTTCATGGCGTACTCAAAGTCTCGGAAGCTGACATGACCATCTGAATCTTGATCCGCCTCCCTGGAAAACAACACGGAAAGTCATTCACGAGGTATTCATGTCCGAACTTCCATATCAAAGCACACGAGAATCTTCCTTCTCTGTTCGTCAAGCACGAGGGAGGAACCAATCTTATCTTGAAGGCCAAAGTCATGCCCATGCCTCCCTCCCCCACCCTACTACACTGCTAACACTCAAGGTATGAAGGAAAGAAGGGGTATTTATTAAAACCTACAGAAACACATACGGAATAGATTTGAGGGGTGGATCTAAATGCATAAGCCACATAAGAAAAGCTGTTTACAGGTTTAGCTAGCACACATGAGAACCTGGGTTTCACCTCTAACACTGTATAAAACTGGCACGCCTATAATCCCAGTGCTAGGGAGGTGGAGGCAGGAGGATCAGAAGTTCATCCTTATCTACACAGTAAATTTGAGGCTAGCCTGTGCTACATGAGATCCCATCTCAAACAAAAGTAGGAATAATTATTATTCTAGTGGTCTGACACATATTACATATATACATACATATAATCTTATAAACATATATGCACTACAACAAAAATGTGAAATGAATAGAAGACTGTTTTAGCAACAAAGAGTGATGGTAACATCTTACACAGTCTGAAGCCCTACACAGTACTGCCTTCACACCCCCAGACTGCAGGATCTTAGCACCAGTTCTGGGACTGGCTGAGTGTACGGAGCTACTGAGCCTTAAGGAGACCTGACAGTCTTCAGAGGATCACACTGCTAGAAAGCAGCTGAAATACAACTCAGACAAGGATGGTGATACTCTGAAGTCAGAACTCCATCATCTCTTGCTGTTGTCTCCCTACACAACCAACACACACTAAGCTTTTCCAATTCCTATGAAGAGTGATGAGGATGTGAGCCCTTGGGGAGCCTCTGAGACATGGCCCCCTGAACAGGCAGCAGAGATTGGCACACACTCTATGTGGCTAAGATAAGGTACACCTCCAAAGCACAAAACATCACCAGCAGCAACTCATCAGCTCTGCTCCTGGGCAAAGAAATGTCTATTAAAGAGCAGGTCTGAAAGGATAACACATGAGTATGGTCCCAGTTCCCCTTGGGGGCATCCTGGAACCAATGCATGTCCTGCCTTCTGTGGAGCTTCTGTGGTTGATGCAAATGACATTCTGTAGAAAACAAATGGTATCAAGCATGACACAGGGCTTTTAAAAGCAAAGACAGGCCTAAGCAAGAAAGCCACTAATCACTGTAATAGTTCCAAAGCAGGCTTTTAAAATATTGAAGTCTAAAATAAACTTTCTGAATATTTCAGGCCAAAGTCTGTGAAGTCTGTAATAGTTCTGGATAGAGTGATGATAATTTTTCATTCTTTTGAAGTAAAGAAAAAAAAAAAAACCTACTTCTCTGCCACAGGGCAAAAACCATGTTGCAGTGTGTTGGGATAAAATGATTGCATGCTACAGAAGCTATTCTTCTTGTGCTAGCTATCTCTTGGTGATGTATACATGGTGATTTCATGCTATACAGCACACAGAGCATAATGTCAGATCTCTTCTAAGGGATTTAAAACAGTCATGGGATCGCCCATCACTTACTGCAGGATATAAACCATCCCTTTAATAAAATCACATACCCGAGGAGTCTTCATATTGCCTAAGTATTTGATTAGATAAATAGCATTCCCTCCCTTTCTACTCTAAATTGGTACGTCTGAACTGTAAATCTCACAGAGAGATAGCCTAGAAGAGTACTACCAGCATAAATGCTTCTGGTGATATTTTGAGTATGTTTTCATTCACTTATTGGACCATTGGAAGCCTGTAGAAAAAGGAATACCTCTGCCCATTTCCCCCCCCCCAGATAAATTTTTTTTTGTTATTGTATTAACATTTAATTCTTTTCATTCTTTAGTACTGCTACCAACTGGAAGGTGGGTCTACTGTCACCAAGAAATGTGAAAGGGGACGTCCATCTATAGGGCTTGGAGAGGACACCATAGGCCCATACTGAATGGAGAGCTGCCCTCTGTCTCCCTTTTATATTTAGGACAAGACATGGCAGAATATTTGATGCTTGTTTATGTTTCAGACATATGAACAGGTATGGTCATTTCAACTTGAGCAAAGAGGAAACTGAAGTTTAAGGACTAAAAGTTTAAAAGCTATGACATACAGTTTTTATTAGCAACAAAAGTATTCCATGGAAGACTGCGACACTCACAGTCAATCACTGTGTGATAGGAACAGATGGGCTATTGGGAAGAGCTGGGGAGGGGGAGACTGTCATTAAGGAAAAAGGAACATCATTTCTGTTTACAGTAAAGCCTTCAAGCCTGGTTCTGAAACAGGAACAAACTGCTTCAGTGTCACCGAAAATATTCAGTACCATAGTCTCAAAAAACCCTCACCCCTACTAAAAATAATCTCCAGGACGGCAAGAACTTTTGCCCACAGCTGTCCCCACCTCTTAGCTAATAGCAGGCAAGGACTATGTGCTGAGTAAATGGATTTATGAAACAAATGGAGCTGAGGAACAGGTGATGATCTTATGGACAATGTATTACCTACAGGTGTCGGGATTGAACAGAGACTGTCTTACACTGTCAACAGCTGGCATCTCAGCCACTGAAATAGAACACAGGGGAAGGGGCAGCCTGCAAGCTACTACCACGATGGGTAAGTCTATTACGGCCTCTGTGCTCAGCTGCGCTCGGCAAACACAGAGTACGTATGGGAAAGACCACAGAAGAAATGGGCTTTGGAAAACGGGCTGCTGAGAGTGGTGATGTGTTGGTCCTTCTCCCAAGGCTCCAGCCTGTGGATAAGGACAGGAGGTCCAGGCCCAGGAGGTGAGAGGTGCGGAGACACTACACAGACACTGGGAGTCGAGTGAATGCAATCTGAGGGCCAGCGGATGCAGATTCATTTATTCCAAAAGAGAGAGCATGTTATATAGCTTTGGGTGACCAATCAGGTTCCTCCACACCATCTCCAAGCCTGCCATTGGTTGTTCGTTTCTGGGCAGACTCTCCAACATCAAGCCATGAACTTTCTGCCTGCCTCACTACTTCTGTAGTAGTCTCAGCGTAAACTGCCCTAGGCCATGAGCCCTAACGGCCCGTTGCTAGGAATGCCCACAGTGACGGAGGGAAGAATCCCTTGAACAATAGGCAGGACAGGTGGATGTATCCAATCCAAGGCCCACAGGCAGCCAAGGGCAGTTGTGAATGTGGCTCAACATAAAATCATGAGTTACTTATGAGAGTGAGAGGCAGACACACACACACACACACACACACACACACACAGATTGGGTACCTGCGTGTGTGTGTGGATGTGCATCTGTGTGTGTGTGTGTGTGTGTGTGTGTGTGTGTGT